TCTTGTTTACTACTCCACTGAGAAAACAAAAAGTAGAAGAAAACTTCCATATACTTCTCCTGCCACTTTCACCAGCATCTTACCTGCATCTATCCTGTCTGTGCCTGTCGAAAATTAAGCCCTCCCTGTCCCTCTTGCTAGCTCCACCAACAATGCTTCTTTCTTCCTCCTCTATGATTTTTCACATACTACGAAACATTCCCATCAGCATTTATTTCTTTGTGATTACATATCTTACCTTAAAAAAACAAAACAAAACAAAAAACTTCTCTTGACCCCACCTCTTCAACTAGTCCCATTTCTCTGCTCCACTTTATAACAAAGCTGCAAATGCCATCTATATTCTGATTTTAATTCTTTCTCTCTGTTCTGTCTTAAATTGTCAATGATTTCACCCGATTTGGATCAATAAGCAATTCTCATGAAGCAGCAGTCAAGAAATCAAATGATGCATTGTACTGGGCAAATCTGTGGCAAAAGATCTCTGTAAAATTTAAAAAGCAAAAATGTCATCTTGATGACTAAGATACATCTGACCAAAGCGATGATCCTCAATTGTCTCATACACATGTGGAACTTGAATAATGAAAGGGGAAGATAGAGGATTAATGTGCTTTAACTGTTATATATTGGCAAAGAATGTTGAATAGCCTGTAGACTACCAATAGAGTAAATAAACCAGTTTTAGAAGAAACACCACCAAAATGTTCAGTGAGACTTCAACTTGCTCACTTTGGATATGGCATCAGGAAAGACCAATTGCTAGAAAAGGGCATGTTTGGGGCATTATGAAAACAAGGGAAATGCTCCATGAAATGGATTTGAAATAATAGTCATACCAATGGATTCAAAAGTAACAACAATCATGAAAATGGTTCAGGGACTGGGCAATGTTTACATAAATTTACACATAAAATCATCATGAGTCAGAACTGATTCAGTGGCAACTGACAATGACGGCATTCTTTCTATTGACAGCTTTGCTCCTGTTACCCCTGGAAATGTCTCTTCTCAAGGTCACCACATAACCTTCACATTACTAAATCCAGTGATGGAATTCTCAGTCTTTGGTAGGATTTGATGCAATTGATCCTTGTCTCCTCCCTTGGTACAATTTCTTCACTTGGCCACCATAACACTATCTTGGGTTTGCTCACTGTTCACTTCTTCTCAGTATTAATTTCCCCTGCTGGTTCTTTGTGTTGGTATGCCTCAGGTTCAGGCCTGATCTCTTACTTTTCTCTCTCTAGTGATTACATTCAGCTGATTGTTTAAAATATTATCCATATGATATTTTCTAGTGTGCATGTGGTTTGGCGCTGTGAGCTAACGTGCTGGACTGCAAAGTCGATTTGAACCACAAGATTGACAGTTCAAGTTCACCAGTTGCTCCTAGGAAACCCTAAACAGGGTTGCTATGGGTCACAACCAACTCGATGGTACTTAACAACAACAACAATGTGCATCTCAAGTCCAGATATTTTCTCCTGAAATCCACACTTCACACATGACTTCCCTACTTGGATGTCTTGACCCCAACATGCCCGAAACTGAACTCCTGATCTTTTTAATAAAACAATTCTGCTTATAATTTTCTTGTCTGAATTGATGCCAACTCCTTCTTTCTATTCACTATGGCCACAAGTCTTTGAGGGATCTTGACACTTTTCTTTTATTCACATTCCACAACCAATCTGTATGACTGATGACTTTTCACCAAACTGTCTGGTTTCCTTCTTGCTGTGCCTATCCCTAAAGGAGACTTAAATATCCACTCTGGTGAATTTAAGAGTGGTCTATGACTTGCTCTAGCCAAATAGATACAGTAGAAATTACTGGGCACCATTTCTGGCATATTCTAAGAGCGAATATGTAATTTGTCCCTGACTCCTTTCTCTCTCTGCTATGATGACCCACAGCATTCCTGATAGAATTTGCTCCACCAACTTGAACCCTCACAAAGTCAACAAGTATCAGAGCCATAGCTGGTCTACACTGCACCTGGAGTGCTGTAAGTTGCTGAGATATTTGGGGTCTTTTGTTACTGCAGCATAACTACATACTCTGATGGATACACCCTTTCTTCAAGATGTATCCAGAATCTGATCACTTGTACTACCCTGTGTCAAGCCACCATCCTGTCACCTCTGGATTATTGTTAACAGCCTCTTCAATAGATTTGCTGCTTCTTTCTTTCCCTCCTATGATATACATATTTTCCCTGCTCTCCAAAAGCGGAGTTCCTGTGAAATATTTGTAAGCTGAAATGGCATAAAACAAAGAAGCAACTCCTATTCATTTATATGGGAAAAATAACTGAGCATTCCCAGACCAAAAAACTAACTTACCAAATCATACCAAATAACACATAGAACTTAAAAATAACACTAACATATAGTTTTCACAGACACAGTTCATCACTATTGCAGCTTGATGCTGATTGAAGATCTCAAGGAAGGAACTTGGAAAAACCACTCTTGTAATTCAGGCTTCTTGCTGCTCTTTAACAGTTCGCTGTAAGACAAATACTAAATGCTAATTTTGCTTTTTGCCCTGTATCCTAAAAGTAAAAATCCTCTTGAGATTTTCAGTTAACAAATAGATACTAATGTAGATCTTTTATAAAAGCAAAGTGACTTAAAGCAAAAATTTGAAAAGTGGGGTATACCTTTATTCTCAACAGACTAGTCAGAGGCATCCTCTCACAATTCTGCTCAAAACTCCATAATGGTTCCCCATTTCACTCAGAGAGGAAGCCAGACCGTACAAAGCTTGCAGGCTCTGGAATTATAGGTTCCTCCCCTACCCCTCTCCCCTTATTTCTCCCCATTCTGCACCTTGCTCACTGTGTTGCAATCCCACTGGCATTTTCTCTGTTCCTCAATTAGTGAGACTGTAAAAATATCACATCATCTATACCCCCACGACACTCTCCACTCAACTGGGTTCCATATCTTTTGCAATGGCCACACAGAACTCAGACAACATACAATTATGGCGTTTAAAAAGGAAGCTAACAGGTTACAATATGTTGTTGTTAGGTGCCGTCAAGTTAGTATGGACTCATAGCAACCTTATGCACAACCAAACAAAACATTGACCGGTCCTGAGCCAACCTCACAATCATCGCTATGTTTGAGCCCATTACTACTGCCACTGGGTCAATCCATCTTGTTGGGGGTCTTCCTTTTTTTGCTGACTCTCCACTTTACCTAGCATGGTATCCTTCTCCAGGGAATGGTCCCTCCTGACAATATGCCTGAAGTAGAGAGATGAAGCCTGACCATCCTGGCTTCCAAGGAACATTCTGGCTGTACTTCCTCCAACACAGATTTGTTTGTTCTTTTGGTAGTCCAAGGTACTTTTAATATTCTTCTCCAACACTGTAACTCAAATGCATCAATTTTTCTATGGTCTTCTTTATTCATTGTCCAACTTTCACATGCATATGAGGTTATTGAAAATATCAGGGCTTGGGTCAGGCTCACTTACCCTCAAACTGACATCTTTGCTCTTCAACACTTTCAAGAGGTTTTGTGCAGCAGATTTGTCTTTTGATTTCTTGACTGCTTTCTCCATGAGTGTTGGTTGATCTGAGCAAAATGAAGTCTTTGACAACTTAAAAGCTTTTTCCATTTACCTTGATGTTTGGTTTGGGTTATATTTCAATGTAAAGAAAACAAAATCCCTCACAAATGGACAATAAGTGACATCAATAAATAGCATCAATGTTACAATAGAGGATCCGAAAATGCTAAGGGCACAGTTGTTTCTATTAGCTGCTGATAAATGCCCACAAGACATACCACTCCACCATAATCCTCAGCCTGAAGGCACTTGGCTCTAACTATATGGGTCAGGAAACCTAGCTCTCCCATTTCAGTGCCTGGAGGCATCCCACTCTATAGGAAAGTCTCCTGCCCAAAGTACTCAACTTTACTTGCTCTGTGGGTTGGGAATCCAAATGCTCTGTCTTATGCTCTGGCTCTTGGTTCTGCTGCTACTGCTGCTCCTATGCCCCTGGGTTGAAGAGGTTCAATGTGCAGGGTCCAAAGCACATGCTCCACTCTTGGCTCTTCTTCTTCTTTGATGGTGGTGAGATCCCTCCTGCTGCTTCTGAGATGGCTCATTTTAATCTCACGTTAGTTGTGATGGTGGTGGTGCATCACTGAGTTGGTTCTGACTGATAGCAACCCTAAATAGGGTTTCTCAGGTGATAAATCTGTATGGGAGCAGAAATCCTCATCTGTCTCCCACAGAGCGACTGGTAGATCTGAACTGCTGATCTTGTGGTTAGTAAACCCAACACATAACCACTACCTGCTAGAGCTCCTTAAACTCAAGTTAGAGTTCCACATTTTCCCAATTAACTCTGTTAATACCCACCACTGAATCATGCCATCCTATCAGCATCTTATGCCACCTTCTCTTACTCAGATCCATTTGAAAAAGTCATTTGGTGGGAGTTATAAAGACTAAGGCGAGAAGAAACAACACACAATTCACTACACCACAGGGAGGTACTCCCACTTAAGGGTTTTTCTATGAGCTTTTCTCTGCCTATAATGTTTTTCCCTTGAATATCCTCAAACCCAAATTCCCCTTCTCCTTCAAGTTTTTGCTAAAATATCACCTTCTCAATAAAGTCTGACCAGGTCCTTCTATTTATAATTGCACCCCATTTTCCTCCCTCACTGTGGCTTTGTTACCTGTTCTATTTGGTTTTCCTAAAGCACATATCACCTTTTACCATAGTATATGCAGTTGATCCTTATTACTCACAAATTCCATATTTGCAAATTTGCTTACTTGCTAAAATTTAGTTGCAAGTCCTAAAATTAAAATGCTTATTCGGGTATGTGAGATGCACAAAGTTTGGGTTGCCTAAAGCACACATGCAAGCTTAAGGGAGTCAGAACCTTCTGAGTTGTTGGGACATTCCCACTTAAAAAGACACACAGACCAATCCCAAATTGCTGGGAAAATAGAAGATTTTGGTTTTGTGCTATTTCTCTTTTTGGGAATCTTGACCATGCTCAGACCAAATATGTATTTCATGGCCCCTCTACAGGAGAAGGTGGTTTTGGGGATGTTCTTTCTGGGTGCAGTGCTATGCCTCAGCTTCTCCTGGCTCTTCCACACTGTCTTTTGTCATTCAGAGAAAGTCTCTTGGACTTTTTCCAAGCTGGACTATTCAGGGATTGCTCTACTGATCATAGGGAGCTTTGTCCCCTGGCTCTATTACTCCTTCTACTGCTCCCCACAGCCACGGCTCATCTACCTCTCCATCGTCTGTTTCCTGGACATTTCTGCCATCATTGTGGCACAGTGGGACCGGGTTGCCACTCCTAAGCATCGGCAGACAAGAGCAGGAGTGTTCCTGGGACTTGGCTTGAGTGGGGTTGTGCCCACCATGCACTTCACTATCGCTGAGGGTTTTGTCAAGGCCACCACCGTGGGCCAGATGGGCTGGTTCTTCCTCATGGCTGTGATGTACATCACTGGAGCTGGCTTGTATGCTGCTCGAATTCCTGAGCTCTTCTTTCCTGGCAAGTTTGACATATGGTTCCAGTCTCATCAGATTTTTCATGTCCTGGTGGTGGCGGCAGCCTTTATACACTTCTATGGGGTCTTCAACCTTCAAGAATTCCGTTATGGCCTAGAAGGTGGCTGTACTGACGACTCCCTTCTCTAAACCTTCCCACCAGATGGGTGGAGGAGGAACTTCCCAAGTGCTTTTAAAAATATCTCCTTTGCCGAAGTGAGGAAGAGTCTGAATTGTCTGTTTCTAGAAGAAACCTAGTAGAGAATTCAGTACCAACCAAGCTTCAGCCCACGTTCATTCAAACCCACTGGATAATAAACTTTCCATTTCCCTAGCTGGGAAGAGAGGGGGTGGTCTTATTTAGCCATCCCCCTCCTCAGCAAGGCAACTTATCCCCTCACAGAGAGAGTACTTTGAAGCTCATGTTGAGATTTTTACCCCCTCTTCCAACCATTTTGGAAAAAAATAATGAACTAGGACTCCTCAGAAATTCTGTTTTGTCCTTCCCTTACCCCCATTCTTACTTTGTAACCTGGCTTATAACAGGACATCCGTTTTTGTAGCACACTTAAAAAAAAACAATTATAACCTGGTCCCATCTTTCTAGGGCCTG